GATAAGTTAAGGAGGCTGATCAGCTATGAAGGCTGTGATTATCCATTATATATGACCACTGTTAGTAGTTTGCTTCACAATCAATTAAATCTTCTACCTTCAAAGCTGTAAACTTGTTCTACAAAGGAAATAGTGAGAACTTTAAACTTTTCCAGTTGGTATCCAGGCCATGAGGCATTAAAACATGAAAAAACCAGTGAAGGAACTAAAGGAGGACATACGTGATGACATGTGGTAAACTATTTGTAAATAAATCCCTACTAGTTCTAGGAATTGGAAAATTTACTGTTAAGGTTTTTTTATTTCTTCGAAGATAAAAAGGGTGGGGCCTGACAGTGCTGCAGTGGGTAGCGCTGCTGCCTTGCTGCAAGAGGGTTCTGGGTTCGATTTCTGGCCCGAGAGTCTTCTGCATGTTCCCCTTGTGCATGCTTGGGTTCTCTCCGGGTACTCTGGCTTCCTCCCACAGTCCAAAACATGACTATTAAGTTCTTCTCTAAATTTCCTTAGGTGTGAGTATGTGTGTATGGTTGTGTTTCTTTGTGTTGTCCATGTGTTGCCACATAAAAGACTGCCGACCTGTCCTGGGTGTACCCCTACTCTCGCCCATTGACTACCGTAGATAGGCACTGGCCCCACAGCGACCCTGACAGAACTAAGTGGGGGAAAATGGGTGGATTGAAATGGATAAAAAATGCATTGTTGTCCTTAAACCAAGCCTTCTGTGTGGGTCATGCATATATCTTCTGGTAGCGCTGTAATTTGTCTCAATTTTGGGAGGATGTTACCAAAAAAGCTGATAGGATATACGGGGTTTATAGCACCCCAAGAACAATACTGATATACTTTAGCTTTGTAAAGGGAGCAGAGATTCTGTCAGGGTCTTGGTCTGTTTGTTCCTGTTTTTCTTGGTTTTCCATTTGTTGTCCTCTGCTGCCCTCTTGTGTCTTCCCTTGCTCTGTTTCTCTGTCCTGCCAGCACCTGTTGCCAATTTCCTCGTCAGCTCTCTC